GGTTTCCTTGACGCTGTTCTTTATTTCCTAGACGAAAGTGTGTAGGCGTATTGCGCTCAGGGTGTGGAAGAGAGCTTTGAATTCAAGTGATCTCTGGTTTGACTCCAGTTCTGTCACTGTGCTCTCAGTGATTTTTGAGTAAATCTCTTAATGCCTAATTTCATTGCCTCATCTGTAAAACAGATGCTGATTCCTGCTATGTGAAGTTGCTGGGAGGACCGAATGCATTGCTTGTAAGGTACCTTGGCGCCTGGCTCCTAGGGGTGCTCAACAGAGCAGTAGCTGTGATTATGTTCTGGAGGAGTTAATTGAAGTGATGAATGGCAGTACCTTGGGAGGCGCCTCCCATCACAATTTGGCTTGTGTTTGCCAGGTTGCTGGGGGCCAGAATGGGGTCGTAATCTGTCATGGAGTCCCAGGAGCCCAATTGTCCAGGGCAGTCCCAAGTGCTCAGAGCAGGAGGAGGACAAGTAGCACTGGGCTCTCCATCCCACTGGACTGACTTTCAGCCAGTAGGTATTGTTTCAGTCCCAAGATAGCTTGGAAAACCCCACGGGCACCATTCAAATGCTCTTCAGTCAGTGACCATGTGAGTAAGCCCACATGAGTCCTGAGAGGCCATGTAGGAAAGGATATCCAGGAAAAGCCTCAGAACTAGTCTATCTGGACACTGGGGTGAGGATCTCTGGCATGCCCGGAGGAGCAGCTTCTGCCCAGAGTATGCCTGGCTGGGGAAGGGCTGGGTTACCAGGCGCCATCGGGTAGTCTAGACACCTTGTCCTGGCTGTGCCCTGGAGACTCACAGTCCATATACCACCAGACAGCAAAGGGATTATGAAACTTGAAGGCTTAGAATAAACACACGTAAAATCTGACTGGAGCCCTGCACTTTTAGCTAATAACTTCAGTGGGCGAGGAACTGTGGGCTGACTCAGAGATGGCTGCTGTTACCACCATTTGTCTTTCTGCTTCCCCAGAACGTGCTGCTGTTTGGGGGAAGGGCTGCGGTTTTGCTGCCTAACTTCTGACAGACACTCCTTATTCACTCTCATGACTTGCAATACTTGCTATCCCAGACGGGTGAGCTCAGGAGTTAGTCTGTGTGTCTGATATTAAAATAAAACAAACCAAACAGTCCTCCTAAAATTAACCTTAATACCACTAGAAATATTTATTACGCAAATAATTCAGAATAAGGCAAAGACCACTTTGATTAGCTTGCTCTCGTTCAAGTATTTTGGTTAAATGACATTGATTATTTTATGTTTATATGCTCGTGGTATTTTTAAAAGTGCATATAAAAATAAACAAAGGACCCCTCCCCCAAAATCACACTATTTTCAGGTCTCTGATATAATTGATATGAAGATATTTTGTTACTCTAAGACAATTTAAATTGCTTCTGGAAAGCAAACCAGCTGAATATAACCAAAGTTAGTTAAAGTTATAAAATTATTCATAGCTTATCTTATCCCTGGTCAATTTTAGGACTCTATCTAAGGAAATATCTTCTCTCCCAGAACAGGGGAACTAAAAGTGTGCTTTGTGGCTGAACATTTATAATCAGCTGAAATGAAAGCGTGTTGGGGGTATGACCAGGAAGGCTAGTGTGTTACACAGGACGGAAGTGTGGCCCTAGGAGGCAGTGCTGCTTGAGTTGTCTTCTGCGGAGAGGCTGTGAGGGAGGAAAGGGTGCGCCCTAAATGGTGTGTACACTCCAGGTGGTGTGTGCGTCGTGATTGTGACCACGTGGCTGAGAGCCACCTACAGTTTTTACACACTCCTTACTGCAGCAGCTGCAGGTGGAGTTTCTCTGGGAGCTCATTAGGACTCTCCCATCACGGGGTGTGGGGTTGGGGGGTTGTTCCTGACCATCTTCAAACCTGGGTCCCTAGTGCTCTAAGTCTTTGTCTCTGTCAATTTAGAACAGTGTAAAGGGGGTGAGTGTTTGTTTACTTACTTATTTCTGTGTTTCCCTCTACAGTTGCTTGAATTTATATAGAAATAAAACCATATTAAACATTACAGTGGTTCTTTTTTTAAGACCTTGAGTATACGATCATGTGCTATTTAGAAAAGCAAGCTGAGTGTCTACAGGCTTCAGAGTGGCTCAGCATCTGACATCTTTCTCTCAACTGAGTATGAATAACTTGCATTTTTAATTAAAAATCACAGACTTATTTTTGAGCTTCCTGAAGTTTCTGAATTATAAAATTCCCTAATTCTGGACAGAATGAGGATTTTATATAAGCTAAGGTTCTAAAATGAGGATTTCCAATTGGTAGAAGGTAATGTATGCTTGTGTGTCCAAATATTTTTGTGCTGAAACTTAAATAAATGTCGATGAGCTTTCACTGGTGAATGTTCTAGAGAATTGCAAGAAGGCTGGTTGTGGAAGAGCCATGCACTTTCTACCAGTACCTGTGTATTTACACGTGGCCACGTGCATTTTACTACCCTCATGTATACAGTCAAGTAAATGCATGTGCCTGTATACACACATTCTTTCATATCACTTCTTGTCTGATTTGGCAACTTGCAAAACTGTCATTTTGAGGTGCCAGGATAGGTTTTATTTGGCTTTTAGATGATAGCCTCCAGAGGGATGACATCCACAATTACTCATCATCTCTGGGGGCAGCGAAATGTCCACAGCACTTGGGAACAGTCAGGCCAGTTGGGGTGGCATGCTCCCAGGAAGACAGAAACCTTCTGTGCAGTTATCTTTTTTTATTATCATAGACAGGTGGTTGATAGCTGTTTTATTTTTTCCAAATTTGGCTTTCGTTTTTAGAGGAAAGACTTGAAATAAGTAGTGACTTCATAGATGCTCTCCCCTTCTCCCCGACCCCATTAGTGAAGGGTGACATTGCCCCTTCAGCTCCCCACCTCTCTGTTCTGGGACATTGGTGAGTTCCCCAGGAAGGATGCAGATGAGGACAACCATGTACCGGCCCTAAGTGGGGAGACCAGGCATGTGTACAGATCAACTTAATCGAGAGGCAAAAATGAAGCGTGTCAGAAACACAGAAGTGTGGTGATTGTTCAGACCTCTTTTGGGTGATTACAATGGACTCCTTGTTGATCTTTTAACTAATAAAATGAGTGGAAAAATATTTCATAAGCGTACAATATGCAGTAGGAAAATAGAGTACTGCTTACCTAAAAGCTACTCTACTGCTTCTGTGCCCTGCTGCTTCTGTGCAGCCACAAATGGGGTTTAGACACCCACCATCTTATATTGTCTATTGAAAAAAAAGTCTAACGTGCTCCTGAGTCCACAGCCAGCAGTCTTTCTAGCACAACTTGAAATCCTCCCTGGCTTAGACTCTTTCAGCCACGGGAGAAAACTCCCACCCTTGGGTGGGCCATCAAAGGCCTTTAGGATGTGGGTCCACAGCCCCGTCTGTCACTGGCTGCCCTGGCTGCCACTGATCCCTACCACTGGCCACACTGTACCATACGCTGCTTTGGCTTTTGGAATTTGAACAAAATCCAGTTTAACTCAGAGATGCCCTCTGGGACTGTATTGCTGTCATTATTTAAGGAGTTAGAACTGTAGTGAAGAGTATTTTGTAAATCAGCTTTACATGCAGTTTTCAAAATAATCATGTATACAAACATGTAAGGTGTTTTTGCCATTCACCATTCATTGAAGTGTATTAAGTGTTCTATTGTGTCCCTCCCATGGAATAATCAACCAAAGTCCTATCAGCTTTCTCTAGGAAGGCTTTCTATAGAGGACATGTGTATTGGTTATAGTGGCTATGAAACAAGCTATCTCAAAATTTAGCAGCTTAAAACAAGAAACACATTATTGTACACAGTATCTGAGGATCAGGAATCCAGGTACAGCTTAGCTGGTGTTCTGAGGTTGCAGTCCAGCTGTTGGGTGGGGCTCAAGTTGCAGTCCAGCTGTTGGGTGGGGCTCTGAGGTTGCAGTCCAGCTGTTGGGTGGGGCTCTAAGTTGTAGTTCAGCTGTTGGGTGGGGCTCTGAGGTTGCAGTCAAGCTGTTGGGTGGGGCTCTTAAGTTGTAGTTCAGCTGTTGGGTGGGGCTCTGAGGTTGCAGTCCAGCTGTTGGGTGGGGCTCTAAGTTGCAGTCCAGCTGTTGGGTGGGGCTCTGAGGTTGCAGTCCAGCTGTTGGGTGGGGCTCAAGTTGCAGTCCAGCTGTTGGGTGGGGCTCTGAGGTTGCAGTCAAGCTGTTGTCTGGGGCTATGGTCATCTGAGGCTTGACTGGGAGGGCCCTGCCTCTAAGCTTGTTCATGTGGTTGCTGGCAGGCTCAGTTCCTCTTAGCTATCGGCATGAGGCCTCAGTGCCTCACCATATGGACCTCAGTGTCAGCTGCCTGAGTATCCTCACAGCATAGTACCTCTCTTCCCCCAGAGCAAGTGATTCAAGAGAAGGAGTCCAAGACAGAGACCAAGCTTTATATATATACAGCCAGAAATTAAGTGGCACCCAAATACCTAAGGTTTAAAAGAAATGAGAAAGCAAGTGTGGGAGCCCTTGTTGATAATAATGGCCTCTTTTTCCATTTTGAGCCATGGTGAAATTCCCTGCTTGCCGGGGAGGAGATAACTGCTATAGGCAGCTGCTTGTGTATTTCATAATTGGTCCATAAGGGTTGATGGAAAAAAGTGAAAATTAAAAGGAAATGAGTCTTGGCTAAAGGGGGAGCAAAGTAAGTACGATTGCATGCTTTAGACCTCAGATTCTTTTTCTCATGACCCATTACTTTCTTGAAAATCCCACTTGTAATGGGCGTGGTGGCCAGCCTCCAAGAGTCCCAATGATTCCTAGCTCCTGGGACACACACCCTTGTGCAATCCCCTCCTGCACAGTACCAGGGGTGGTCTGTGGGATGGTATGTCACTTTTTGAAATCAGTGAAAAGGTGTCTGTCTTTTTTACCTGGTTGGTGAGTGAGTGGGGAGTGGAACCCATGGGCCCTTTTATTAATGTGACTCTGGTGTCCCCGTGAATGTCTTTGTCATTTTCAGGCCAACTCCAACAGTGGCCCAGGGCAAAGAGTGTGCATCATCGATGAGATTGGGAAGATGGAGCTCTTCAGTCAGCCGTTCATTCACGCTGTTCGTCAGACACTGTCTATCCCGGGGACTATAATCCTTGGCACAATCCCAGTTCCTAAAGGAAAGCCACTGGCCCTTGTCGAAGAAATCAGAAACAGAAATGACGTGAAGGTGTTTAATGTGAGTACAGCCAGTCCTCCATGACCTGTGGAAATGGAGCAGATGATCTAAAATAGCAGATGGCTCCAAAATATATTGTTGGTTTTGAGTGACCATTTTTTCCCTCCCATGCTGAAATATAGGTGAGTCTAATTTTCTAGAAATGTATAGAACTTAAGTTATACCTCTACTTGATGAAAAAACAAACTTGCTTATGGGGGAGCCTCCTGACGGTCTCAGCTATTGGGGCTGTTTTTTACTTCCATCTCTCCCACCAGACACCAGGACCTCTCTGGCATCAGAACTGTCTGATCTAAGGTGCTTGTTCTAATTCCTCTCAGATTGATAGGTCAGGTTGGGATACAGGGGCAAATATTTTTTGTTTTGTTTTAAAGGTTTCTCTTTTAAACCTGACCCACTTCTGCTTTTGGGGAGAAGAGGCTGTGGATGGAGCTGGAGGCACAGCCTCCAGATGCTGAAGAGCAGTACTGTCCTTTCGAACTTCCCATAGCAAGGGAAATTACCATCTGCATTGTTCAGAACAGTAGCAACTAGCCACATTTGGCTATTTATATTCAATAAATTTAATCAAATTTAAATTGAATTATTTAATCATATAAATAATTAAATTTAAATTGAATTAGACATTCAGTTTCTCCATCACACTGGCCACATGTGAGGTGCTCTGTGGCCTCGTGTGGCTGCTGCATTAGCCAGTGCAGCCGGAGGGTCTGCTACTCACTGTGAGGTTGCAGAATGGCAGCATGGGTGTCACCTGGGAGGGGGCCTTGCCCTGGTCCAAGGAATCAAACTCTGCGGAATGGCCCATGATCTGTGTTTTGGCAAGTTCTCACATGGTTTTTAAGGTCCCCGGCACTTTGAGGAGCACTGCTGTCAACCACATGTGAGAGATGAGGGGCTGGGGCTTGTCAGCCAGTGGAGCTTCTGAGCCAATCATAAGGGACTTGTGGCATTGCTGGCACTTTGTCTAAATACTTGCCTTTCTTTCCCCATTGTCCCTCTGTTTTCCTCTCAGTCAGATATTGCCCCTCCCCCGCCCTTGCCCTTAGTTTCTTTGAGTCAGTGATAGCTGTGCTCTTGGCTGAGCTCTGCTCACATGCCTCACTCCCCCTCCTCAGTTTAAAAGCTTCCTGGCCCTGCAAGTGCCAAGTGAACGAGTCAGGCAGGCAGGACCCCTCCTATCAGGGGGAGTGGAGAGTGAGTACCTGTGAGCACCTTACATCATGATCATTTTAATCACTGAGTAAAATGTTACCTTGGCCCACTGGCCCCAGTGGCAATATCTGCATGGTTTTGCTTGCCACCAAAATATTCTGGAGTGTGGTGGTAAACAGCCATTAGGGTTAGACCAGCCAGACTTGGAAAAATGTGTGCACTCCTTCATTGAGTTATTTATTCATTCATTTGGTCAATTGCGATTGAGCACCTACTATATGCCGGTATCATAATGTCTTCGGATACTGTGGTGAATGAGACTGACCAAGTCCCTGCTCTCATGAAGCTTACATTCTAGTGGAGGAGCTGGATACCAAAAATGTGAACAGACAAATATAGCAGTTACTGGTAAAGGCAAAAGTAAAGAAACCAGGCAATGTGGTAGTTGGGGGCAGGAGTAGCAAAGGTGATCAGGGAAGGTCTCTTCAAGGAGGTGACATTTGAGAGCCCTGAAAAGTTTGTGGGGTTCTTCAGAGTTTCATGTTGTCTTCCCTTACTTAACGTGGCCTCCACATTAGAAGTTTTGTTTGTGATTGTAGAGTTTCCATGGAAATAGAGCAATGAATAGTGAAAGATCATGAAAAAAAAAATTAGTTTTCGAGTCAGATAGCTTCTAGGCTGGAAGACTGGGAAATTGCTAATGTTAGACTCCAGCGATAGCCTAGCTCTGCAAACTAATCTAATCTGAAAGTCCTAAGGAAGGATTGAAGGGAGCTGACTGTGATGCCCAGAAATAAACTTTGTGTCTTTGGCTCATACCACATTTCTTCCTCTCTCAGACTCAAAATTTTTCTCCAGGCAAGTTAATCATTGCATCTAATGATCTGTAAATAAAATGACTAGCTTTGAGTTAATTATGTAAGAGATAGGGACTGGCATACCCTGTTATTTTTTGTTGTTTGACTTTGTATGGTTCCTCTGTTCCAGTTTTATTTTATTTTTTTATTTAACTTAATTATTTTGGGAGGGGGTGGGCAGAGTCTTGCTCTGTTGCCCAGAATAATCTGTGCTGGGATTACAGGTGAAAGCCACTGTGCCTGGCCTGTTACAGTTTTATAAATCAAGAACCTCATTTTGTTTCTTTCTTTTTTTTTTTTTTTTGAGAGTTTCACCATGTTGGTCAGGCTGACCTTGAACTCCTGGGCTCAGGAGATCCTTCTGCCTCAGCCCCCAAGTAGCTGGGACTACAGGCATGCACCAACATGCACCACTAATTTAGAAAAAGAATTTTTTTTTGAGAGAGAGACAAGGTCAGGCTCTGTTGCCCAGGCTGGAGTGTAGTGGCATGCTCTTGGTTCACTGCATCCTCTGCCCCTAGGCTCAAGCCTTCCTCCACCTCAGCCTCCCAAGAAGCTGGGACTACAGTCATGTGCCACCACACCTGGCTCATTTTTTTGCATTTTTTTGGAGAGACAGGGTTTCACCATGTCGCCCAGGGTGATCTCAAACTCGTGAGCTGAAACAATCTGCCTGCCTCAGCCTCCCAAAGTGTTGGGATTACAGGCATGAGCCACTGTGCCTGGCCAAGAAACTCATTTTCTTTATCTGCAAACTTAGGAGTTCGATTAGATATAGTTGTGGGTTCTTTCCATTGCTCATATGCAGTAAAGTATCCAAATCCATTTTTGAGTGTTCTTCACATTCAGCACTTAGTCTGTGGTTTGGGCACATGTGAGGCATGATCTCTGGCCTCAAGAAAAACAGAGCATGGGGCAATAAAAATCTAGGGGCAGGGAAGGGAGAGATCTGAATGAGCAGTGGTGGTGGGGAGAGGTGTCCAAAGGAAGTGGTTCTTGAGTGGGTTCTTGAAGGAGGAAATGGGAAAAAGAAGAAAGAACATTCTAGGTAAGAAGATGAGCTACGAAAAGCGGTCACAGGCAGCCTCCCCTTGCTACCAACTGAACATGCACAGTGTGAAGATGATACTGAACTCATGATATGGGGGAAATATACCACACACATTAGTAATGTTATCTAGACTTACTGTTCTTCATAATGTTGGGTGAACAGAGTATTTTCCAAAAATACCTAAGAACACTTCCAGTTTTAGACAAGATGGAATAGACACACTTGTGTTTATTTTTCCTGCTAATTGCAGCCGAAAACCTTGGTGAAGAGAAAAAGGCAGATTGGCTAGGAACCTAAGGACCAAAGGAACAACACACAGACACAGCTGAAAATCATTTGTCATGCCAAGAATCAGGAATACCTAAACCTGAGTGAGGAAAGGCAATCCGCAGATCTCAACAGCCAGGTGACTCAGATAGTGGCATTATAGGGCAAGGATTTGAAAACAACCATCATAAAAATGCTTTAGAAAATTACAGACACACATGAAACAAATGAAAAATGGTCTCAGCAAAGAACTGGAAAGTTTCAGCAAAAATCTAGAAGACAGAAGAATCAAATGAAAATTTTAGAACTGTAAAATACAATAGTGAAATTAAAAAGTCACCGAATAGGCTCATCAGAATAGAGATGACAGAAGAAAAAAATCAGTGAACTTGAAGGTAGAACAATAGAAACTACCTGACAGAGCAGACATTTTTTTTAAAAAAGAAATGAACAGAGTTTCTGGGACCCGTGGGACTATAACAAAAGATGTGACATCCATGTCATTGTAGCACCAGGAGAGGAGCATGGGGCTGAAGAGGTGTTTGAAGAAGTAATGGCTGCATTTTTGTCATATATGGCAAAATAAGTAAACATACATTTTCAGTGAACCCCAAAAGGATAAACTCAAATTCAGGCAAAGACATACCATAGTCAAACTTCTGAAAATTCAAGTCTTGAAAGCAGTGAAAGGAAAGCAGCCCCTTACCTCTAGGATAAAAACAATGAGGGACAGCAGATTTCTCAGCAGAAACCATGAAGGCCAGAAGGAGGTGATACATTTTCTAAGTGTTGAAAAAACTGTCAACTCATAATTCTATAAGACATTCGCAGATGAAGGAAAACTAAGAGAATTTGTTGTAATAGACCAATCTAAAAGAATGGCCAAAGGAAGTTCTGTTATCAGAAAGGAAATGGTAAAAGGAGTCCTGAAACGTCAGGAAGGAAGAACGAACTATGGAAAGAGTAAAACTGAGTGAGTATAGTGGGCTTTTATTCTTCTGTTGAGTTTTCAAGAATTGTGTTTGACAGTTGAAGCAAAACAATAACATTCTCTGATGTGTTAAAAAAAAAAAATAGTTGAAAAAAAAGAAAAGAAAGAACAGTGCCTGATAAGGAAAATAAAATCTCACTGATAGAATCTTTGGCACCTCCTATTATCTACTAAAGCATCAGTAAAGGAAATTGGCTATGGAATATTTTCATTCATCTATTCAGTAAATATTGAGCACCCATTGTATATTAGGTACTGTCCTATCCACTGGAGTTTTAGCAGTGAACAAAAGAGGGAGAACCAAACATCGTTTTATCAGTAACCCAGTCCTGCCATAACTCACTCATTCCCACTATAATGGCATGAATCCATTCATGGGGACAGCCCTCATGACCTAATCACCTCTTAAAGGTCCCACCTGTATTTGCATGAGGGTTAAGTTTCCAGCACATGAACTTTGGGGGACATATTCAAACCATAGCAGTTGACTTATAGGTTCTTCAATAATTTGTTTTTCAGAACCCTAAGAGGTTATTACCATTGTATGCCATTGAGTTTTATCCCACTGTATCCCAGTGAGTGTGTCACTGATTGATTTTGCTGCCTTCTAGTAAGTGTTATAACATTGGTAATGTGATCATCACCTTTAGATCTTTTTCAAGCTGGCGGCTTCATAGTATGATTAAGTCTCTTGTTTAGACCATGGGATGCACTTGTTCTTGGCAGCAGTGAGTGGATATTATCTGGTCTTCCAGGCTATTTCAGTGCTATCTCACTGCCTTCTAACTTGTTTTTTTGTTTTTTTTTTTTCCCATTTATTTATTTTATTGCATTTTAGATTTTGGGGTACATGTGAAGAACATGCAAGATTGTTGCATAGGTACACACGTGGCAGTGTGATTTGCTGCCTTCCTCCCCATCACCTACATCCGGCATCTCTCCCCTTGCTATCTCTCCCCAGCTCCCCACCCCCCACCGTCCCTCCCCTATTTCCCCCCAACTGACCCCAGTGTGTAGTGCTCCCCTCCCTGTGTCCATGTGTTCTCATTGTTCAACACCTGCCTATGAGTGAGAATATGACCTGTGTCTGTATGCCCTGCTCAGTCTCCCCTTCCTGCTTCTTGATTTTTTAAATAAGAAGATGGGTTGATGATATTGCCAGTTTGTCTTTCCATCTGGTTGGTCTAGGTACTGTAAGAGACAGTACTTGACTGATGTGCTGGGCACAGATGTAATACCAGATACCAGGTCCTGCTTATGTTCTGACTTTAACAGCCCCAAACCTGAAAACATGGATGGAACAGGCAGGGGAAGAAATGCCTTAGTATATAACTATGTGCAAGAAAGCAAAACAAAACCAAATCTATTTCCTTGAAACTTTTGGAATGGCTCCCAACATTCCTAATAAGCAAGGGATTGGATCTGGAGGTCACAGGATAAATGAGATGTGGCCCCTGATCCCATGGAGCTCACAGTTTTGTCTTCACTGTGCCCAGGATAAATTCTTACCAAGGGCCCTCTACAGCCACTGGGCAGGGGCCAGGGTTCAGGTCCAGTCACCTTCCTTTCTTTCTCTTAAGACTCCAGTGCAGACAGAAAGAATGGTTGGGGTTACTTTTTCTTTCTGCAGTCTTCTTTATTTCCTTTACCTGTTCCCAGCTCCCAGTTCCCTCTTCTAATTAGCCTCTCATGAAAGATTTTCTGCAACCAAAATTCTGGCTGTTGAGTAAAAAAGTAGACTAGAATTTCAAGTAAGGCAAAGACTACTGAGGTTGGCAGGTGCCGTGATTTTTGTTCTTGCATTTGGGAGTGTGTCTTCCTCATACTGGGAATATCATAACTGAATACTGTAGAGGGTTTCACATCAACACCTTACTGCATAATTTTCAGAAATAATCTCAGGGAAATCAAAGGGAGTATGAAAATATTAATATTGGAGTGTTTGCATTCTGCTCATTAATTTTTAAATTAATTTTTAATTTGTAATTGATTTAATAATTGTACATATTTACGGAGTACAGTGTGATGTTTCAATGCATATATACATTGTATAATGATCACATCAGGGTAATTTCCATATCTGTCACTTTAAATAATCATATTTTATGGTGATGACATTCAAAATCTTCTCCTCTAGCTATCTTTAGATATACAGCACCAGGTTATTTACGCTGTGGTCACCATACTGTATAATAAAAGACCAGAGAAAATTCTCCAGCTGTGGATCACAGTCCACTCTCACAGTCTGGCTGGAGGCAGAAGCTACTGCAATCCCTGCTGAATTCAGAGTGGAAGAAAAGAGCCCCGAGGTGCCCACCTGTGTTTTCCCCTTTCTACCTCAGGTGGATTCCTTGATTGCAAACAACAGAAATAGACTTTGGCTAATTTAAGGGAAAACAGCAACAAAAAGCCTTGGAGCCATTGAAGGTATCCCATGAAGCCAACGGAAAAGCTGACTGTCCTCGTTTCAAGTGGATCCAGAGCTGTCCTGGGATTGACACAGCCAGAACTAGTAGAAATGGGTGTCAGCTTCAGGCACTTGCTGCATGAACTCACTCCTCTTGGGGTGCAGATCTCAGAGAAGTCACCAGGGTCTGGCTTGCCCACTCACTAGCTGGGGGCAAGTTTCCTAGACCGTGCAGCCTCCCAGAGACAATCAGAGCACTCTTCCAAGAAGGGTGAGCGGGTGCCAGGAACCAGAAGTGACGAGGTCTGCTCGCTCTGCATCTCCTCGGATATGTATTGACACCTACTGTGTGCCAAGCCCCCTCTTCAGATACAACACCCTGAACCACAGAAGGCTTCCAGATGCACTCCCCCCTCTTACCGGGAATCTCGGCTCAGTTCCTTCTCCATGGTTCACCTGTTGAAATTACACCCAAGCATAAGGACCCCTGGAAACTTTTCCCGCCCCTGACCCACACATATGCCCCTGTTCCTGCCTGCCCCCCCTCAGACTCCTTCATTGCTCTTGTTCATACCTGTCCTGTCCTGGTCTGAGAGCTCCACGAATCAGGGTCCTTACCTATGGCACTTCTCTATTCGCGTCTCTGGGCCTGACTCCTGCTTGCCCTTCCACCCCATCAGCTTGTGTTGAGTGGATAGGTATTACATGGGCCAAGCAGGAAGTCACCGTGATAGGAGCAGAGATGGCCCTGCCTTCACCCTGGGGCACTCAGGATGGTGTGGTAGTGAAAGAAAAATAAACAGCAGATCATCGGGCAAAGCTTGGGTGAACTCTGTTGCTTTTTTGTTTTTGTAATGGTGTGAGTGATGGAGAACACACATTGCGGTCAGGAGGCCTGAATAACAGTCTATACGGAGGCACCTTCACTTCTCTGCCTCTCTCACTTCCCCATCTTTCAAATGAGCACTTGAAGTTTGTGGAGAGGTGAGTAGATGACCGAGCATCCCAGAATTCTGGGTGCTTCACTGCTGCTGTGCTGGCTGCTCTTCTGAGCCCAGCTGGCTCACAGGCGCACCTCCTTACTTCACTTTGACAGTTCAGTTCCTTCTGATCAAGTCAGGTCATGCTCAGGGGTCCTGCCCGGTCCTGCATTCCCATCGTCTGTCCTGGTGTGCCTCGCAGGGCTCAGTTCACAGCTCTCCCCATGGTCAGGCCTCCTCGCTGGGACACGCAACATGCCTCACCCTCTCCCAGCTTTCCAGGCTTTTGTTCTAGAGAGTTACCCAGCACAAGATTGAAGAAGAGGAAAGGAGCTCTGAAGCCTGTCTCTCACTTCTTTCCCCAGGTCACCAAGGAAAACAGAAACCACCTTCTGCCAGATATTGTGACGTGTGTGCAGAGCAGCAGGAAGTGAAGTCGCATTCTGCTTTTCTGCCCGTGAAGGAGTGCCCAGTTCACGAGGAGCCCGATGGAGCCCTGCCTGTCGAGGCTGTATGCCTTTGGGGTTATGGAACCTTGTGGGCTTTTCTAGAGAAAACTCAACAGCTGTTTTCCATAAAATGTTTAAAAGATCAAATTAGCCTTAATGCTGGATTGTCTATACAAGATTAACAATCCGTTGTGGCTTATTTATGCTTAAAGATTTCTGTTTATTTCCTCTTGCAGTCATGCACATGATTTGGGTAAATTAGGAGATGAGAAATAGTTTTCAGAGTATTGGATGGAATTTGCCCCCATCGAAGTTTATAAATGTGTTGAGGGGAAGGTGGAGGAAGGCGTTCACTGCCTGATCAGTTTTGCATGTCATGAAAATTAAATTCTTCTCCAGGTGCAGCTTCAGTCTCATGCAACTTAAAGTGATAACAGTTACTTGATTTAAAGAAAAATTCCAAAAGAAAATCATTTTAGGTCATCTCCCCCAACTCTGTTTGTTTGCTTATTGCTTAATAAATGTAAAAATAAACCTGACGGTTACAGACAGGAGGCATTGTGTGGGAGGAACACACATCCTTTAGAAGTGTTGATAGCCTCTGATATTCAGCCGGCCAAATGACAAGAGCTCAGCTCACGGGTTTGCATAAGAGCACTGCTTTGCCTAAGTTAACATGGGAGCAATTTTGAATCTTTCTATGCCTAGTTCCCCTTCCAGAAAAGCAGGGAGTGGTGGTCATCTCAGGAGAGTGATGCCACACCACGGAAGGAAACCTTCAGCCACTCCACACAACTGTGGAGCGTACCCAGTGCCGAGGGCTGGGCTTATCAAGAATAATGGTGTAGAAATGAAGGGTTCAGCCCATAGCAGGGGTACTGTAAAAATAAGGCTAAAGACCACTGAAACCCCAGAATTCATAGAGGATAAAAACCTCCCCCCAAGTGGTAGATAGTACTGGAGTGATAAACAGTTCACTTTTTTTTGGTCATTTTGGTGAAGATCTATGAATTTCCAGGATTTCTTTAAACAGCATTGACTACAGACCCACCGGTGTAAGTGGCAGTGTGCCTTCTATCTAACTGTGAGTAAGTTGGGCATGCGGGGTGAGGCACCCTGGGCCGGGCACTGGGACACAGTGAATGGGGCGTGAAGTGCTCGCATCAACACAGAATGGTGCACAGCCCAGGACTGGCTCTTACGTTGGTGTCTGTCTCCTCAGGGCTTTTCTTCCAAGGTAGCTTTGTGAAGCTTGACTTGGACTTGCCTAGCCTTGGAGGGACCACAACAGGAAGCCCTGATAGATCATGACCTAATCCCTCAAAAAGGGCCACTTGCCCAGGAGGAGGAAGTGGGCCTCTCTTTCCTCCGTCTCTGCCTGGCCGGGCTGTTCAGCGAGACTGCGTTCCAAGCTCAGGACGTCTGGTAGACTGGCTGTGACTTCCAGCCACCATCACCGGGACAAGAGAGTTACTGAACACTGGTGTGGGCTACATGCCTCAATGGGCCAGGAGGGGCACGGCCTCTGAGATGGGTAGAGGCTTCCCACAAAGGCCTGGGAACTTGATCCTGGCCAGGAATCTGTGAAAGTAGCACAGCCCTCAGGAGAACTAAAAAAGGGAGACAGGCTGGGAAATGTCATCAATGTACACCCAGGCCTGGTGGAGCTGGTCTGCCCCAGCTGGGGTGAGACCCCATTGAGATGGAGCCTTTCCTGGCACCTCCGGGAGGGCGTTCTGCATTTATAAGCACCCCTCATGCATCTGAAATACCAAGGGCCATGTTTATTCTTGTGCTTGTTTCTAGGAGCTCAGTATTTCAGTCGTGTCTATTTTGTAGACTTTGATTTTGTCTTAGCCGGTGAAGGTTATTTCAAAGTTAAAGAGCTAGTCGGAAGGGCTTATTGCTGAAGGCAATTGTGCTTATGTGGGGTGGGGGTATCTCTGCCTACTTGAAAGTATCCACTTGTGTGGAACAGATTCAGCCCCTAGCACTTGGGGCTGTGGGAGCTTATGCACACTTTCTGTTTAATGGTAAAGAGACAAGGTTGGAGTGTTTGTTCAAGAGCGCAGTGATAGTGGTGAAAAAGGGGATTTGAGCCCACGTCTGCGTGGCTCCAGAGTTCACTCTTTCATCATGCCCTGCTGCGTTCTTCTTGAGCTTTAGCATTTTTAGTGCATTATATGCCTCCAGACCTCAGAGTTGACATTTAGCTGTGATAAACTGTGGTGAATCCAAAGAACATTTAGTGTCTCTTGTGGCGAGGTCCTGAAATGATTATTGTATTAGTCAAACAGAATGATCATGGAGCACCTATGGAGGTGTCAGATGCAATCCCTGTATTGTAAAACAATGAAATTTAATGATGGATAAGATCAATTCACAAATAACTAGAACTCAGGGGCAATGCGCACAGCCTGTAGAACGGTGTCATGCTGAGATCTAAAGGAAGAAGAGGTGCCGTGGCAGAACTCCACGTGACCGTCCTCCACGCAGCCAGGATGAGAGGAGCAGAGCTGAGTCCTGCCTCCCTGTGGGTGCCACGGCTGAGGTGAGGAGCTCTGGTCGGATGGTGGGGGACGGCGGGGCAGCGGCAGGACAGATTGAAGCCAGGGATTCTCTTATACCTGAGTTTGAAATGCCTCCTATTCAAACAAAGCAAAATATCTAACAGATGGTTGGATGTGAGTCTCAAGGAGGAATTCACTTTGAAAAGCACAGAATTAACGTGTATTTCTTGTATGAAGAATCTCAGCTAGAACAACAAGGTCGGATGGGATGAATCAGGACTGATTTGAAGAATGATTTACTAAATCGTACTTTCCTTTTCCCCCTTAGCAGATCATACGCTTAACACACAATACTTTAAAAGTTGTTTCTTCTTACCTCTGAGTGAGGGTAAGCACAGGCAGGGAGATGGGTGGCCTTTTAAATGGATAGAGTATCTTCTCTGATTATCACCCCCAACCGGGAGGGATCCCTCCAATTATCAAGTGGGTGGGAACACTGGTTGCCTGGAAAACGTGAAATAGACTTACTTCTCCTTCTTTTGCTGCCAATTTTGGTATTCATAGAAGGTTGCTGTATCTGTGTATCGCACCTGTGTGTGTAATGATGGATGCTTGTGTAGCATAGTGACTTGGAACAAAACAGCACAGTGGATGAGGCTGGAGGTGGCGAGCTAAGTAAACAGGCATTGCATTGCACATTTTATGGGTAAAGAGAAGTTGAAGTATCACAGGATTTTAACAAACTACTTGCCAGATAATTTCAACATTATTTAGAATCAATAATGTCAAATTAGCCAGACAAGTCATATAAAACCAAGCACTATGGTTTTTATATTATCTTTAGAGGAGAAACCATTTTGTTCTGTGTCCAAATAACTCTTTAGCTATATACTGGCATAACGCGAACAACTCTAGCAAGAAATGTCAAATTAGGGATGCCTCCTCTAAATGGGGCTTAGAATATAACATTTTGAAGGAAATCCTTTTTGATACACAGCTGACTAGATGAAGGGCCAGATTAACAAGTTCATGAGTTGTAAATATAAAAGTTGTGTACCACAGTAAAAAAGAAAAAGAGGTATGGCTACATTGTTGATGCTGGTCAAACAGCCCCCAAGAATCCTAGGGTGACTCCGATGCTGCCACCTTCCCTCTGTGCACGCATTCGCCTGCGGATGTGAGTGTGCGCACCTGCGCCCCAGTTGGCACACTCGAGACGCCCACTCAGTGCGGAATGGCACTGCACTCTCATCTGATTAATGTGGCCTTAATGTTGTAGATACACTGTGTCACTTTCATTCTCCTTCCTCCCCACAAAAGATGTCACTGAGAACCCGTGAACTGGGATAAGCAATGAACAGAGTAGCAGTTGAAGAAGTACCTCAGGAACCTCCCCAGAGAAACAGGATGGAGGAGTGCCCAGGGTGCTCTGGCTTTCTCGTCTGCACAGCCATGTCTGTCCAGCCTGGGTTTCTAGCTCTTTGGGGCAATTCCCCTTTTTGGGGAATGCTTTCTGTGTTTCCTACCTCAGTGCCTAAGGAGTGACCAGTCATGCTCCTGGCTGATGGCTGCCAGGCACTGTGGTTTTCCTAACTCCACAGGAGTCACCCGCATGGGGAGGCCGCACTCACAGCTCCAGGCCTGCCGTTTAGCCCTTGGGGCCTGGCTGTAAAGTTGCCCCAGTGTATTACAGGAGCTGCCAGCCCAGTTTAATTTGGCTACCTTAAAGAACTGCAGCAAGGCTCTATCAGCTTCCTATTAGACATACAACTACATTTAAATTAAAGTTTGCACCTCTAGGGAGTGCTGATCTGAAAATAATAGCATTCTGTCTCAGATTATGGAGCCCACTTACTGTTACTAATTGCTGATTCTTATTTTACAAAAAAAAATTATAAAAGCATTACAATTTACTTCCAAGAGATAAGGGATTCTCTATACTACCCTTCCCCCAACCTTCGCCTCAAATTTCCAAATCCTAAAGACTTTGAAGAAATTTGTGTGACTATTTAAAATTGAATATTTCTGGCCGGGCGCAGTGGCTCATGGCTGTAATCCCAGCACTTTGGGAGGCTGAGGTGGGCGGATCACGAGGTCAGGAGTTCGAGACCAGCCTGGTCAATACGATGAAACCCAGTCTCTACTAAAAATACAAAAATTAGCTGGGTGTGGCAGTACATGCCTGTAATCCCAGCTGCTCGGGAGGCCGAGGCAGAAGAATCGCCTGAGCCTGGGAGGCAAAGGTTGCAGTAAGCTGAGATAGCACCACTGCACTCCAGCCTGGGCGATGCGAGGGGACTGTCTCACAAAAAAGAAATTGAGTATTTCTAAATATGATCTTTTCAAAAGGGATGGTTCACAGGCCAGTGATACTCTATGGACTCCATTTCGGGACCTCCACCCCAGCAAGGATACAGGTTCCTGGGGTTTTTGAAGATGGGAAAAGTTGTCTCAGAATTTACCCAAATGTCATTCTCACCATAAAAGATACACTTTTAGAAATGAGAAGTTTCAACAGAACTCAAAACACTGGACACAAGAATAACTATAAACATTTTAATTTCAAAAACAAAGGTGTGCGCGAGTGTTCTGTGACAGTCAGGGTTGCGGGGCTTGGAGAACAAGCACTTGTCCCTGTGAAGCCCACAGTGCGCTGGCGGCCCACAAATTGCGTAGACTACAGTGAGGAGCGTCATGTGACTCGGGTGGCTTTCCATGCACCAGATGGACTTGATTTCTAAACTCACATCCGAACATATCCTGGCTTTTCACAAAATACTTGAGACATGACTGCATGCATGATCACGGTTCTTGTGAAACTGCCACCATATTATGCTTAACAGCTGCATAAATATGATAAAGAAATAGGGTTTTCTTGACACTTAGATTTAAGCCTAATGCATCTGCCCAGCTGATGGCGTCAGATGTGCTGCTGTTCATTTCTTTTTTGCGGTAACAGTAATGTATAAAGTGCCAGTGATGTAGCATGCAGTTGTCTTATTTTCTTCAGGGCATTCATTTCCTGGCTCTGTTTACT